GAACAAAACAACTTATCTCCTTACTCTGCTACTCCTATCCTTACATCTTGCTCCCAAACTGATACTAATAAAGCACCACCAAATATTGCTGGCCTACACCAACCTCCCTATACTAATAATGATGATGATTCTTCAGATTCAGTAAAAACTATTGCTAGCGTTCATAGTACCTTTTCAAGAATGTCTAGTAGACATCAAACATCCAAATGTCAATCATGCCAAAATGCAAGCCATCGTTCACAATCTCGCCAACCACAATCCCACCAACCTTCACCAAATAATAATAGAGGCTACAAACCTTCCTGCTCTCACCATACTTCACCAAATAACTATATAGATCATTCATTATCGCCACAACATGACTAACCTGATCCTGAATCACAAGGTAGATCACTGGACAGAAGATTGTCCAATCAAAATCAACAATGTAATCAAGATGGTAATTAGTATATAAAGTCTTTTTTTTATTTTTGAATTGCTGTTACACTTTTTTTTTTTAAAATTTTTTTTTTTTTTTATATATTAAAAAAAAAACCTTTTGTCATTAAAAGAACATCACTATAACCACCAAAGTCACTGTCTTGCTGAAAACACCTCTTTACACAAAACTGGCAGTTATAACTTTTAATAAGGAAGCTGCATGATAACATATATAAAGTTAAAGCCAAACTAAGACAGCAACAGAGCAAACAAAGTAATGAACTTTCAAGTTAAATGCTAGACATAAGTAAATCATTTAGTAAAACTTTGAAATACGCATAGTTAAGCATTGTTTTTTATGAATATATTGTGAAATAGGACATGTTTACCAATGTTGTAAAGTGCTTGTTTCCTCAAGACATGTACCTCTCCCAAAGCACTCTCAAGGAATCCCTCAGGGATTATCTGGAGGAAATGTATCCCGACTTTATTTAAATATAAGCACAAATGAATTTACCAACCGATTCTACACCAAATAGTCTAGTCTCGTATGTTATAACTTTTTATTAATTATAATCGCTCATAATTTCTTATAATCTTTTAGGTTACTTATTTTATTTATTTATGTTACTAATTAATACATTATAATTATATGCTATAGTTGTTACAAAAAATGAAAAATTTTCAAGGTGCTGCATTGCAAAACATTAGATCTGCCATTTGACATGTATTTGGATGTGAGAGGCTCTCATTGTTAAAGAGTAACACTGTAGCATCTGACATAGTAAAGTGGAAACAAAGCGAGGAAGTTACTAGTTGTTATTGCTCTCTTTTGAGCAAAATAAAAGTAGTACTTTTTGGGTAGCTGTAATAGCAAGGTCGGCCTTTTCTACAACCGCAGTACCCACCTTGTCTGATGAACATTGCACTTTCACACTTGCTGTATGCGATATCTTATTGAACCCCAAGTCAAAAGATATAATATGTAGAAGAGTAAAATGAAACGACACATAGAGCACTTTCTAGTAAGTTTTATCATATATACTTATATAAAATTTGTATCAAAAAACATTATTAATAGGTTTTTATTGTAGAATGACTTTACTAGTGGTGGCCCATCCTATAAATCTGCCGAATTATTAACTAATAATGAACTTATGAATAATAAGAGCCAAAGGTTCTGTGCAACTACACCAAATGGCAGTGAATTAGAAGCAGAACCATCATCTCAACAAAGCAAAATGATGCAAATATCCCAAGACAATATGGATCAATTGTTTGGGATCGAATCTTAGCATTTTTTTTTGGTTTGTCTTTTTTTTTTTTTTTTTTTTTTTGTAATTTGTAATTGCTATTTGTATTGCATGTATTACTTTTTTTTTACATTTTAATTGTATTAAATATAATTGTAAATAAAATTATAAACAAAATTGGTTTAATAAATTCGATAGTTTGGATTCTAAAATAAATTCAACATATAGTATATAATATATACAATAGTGCATTTATTTAATCGATATGATATTATTTTAATTCGACATTAACTGCTTATTTTAGCTATATATCAATTAATATCGAAAACGATATAAATTGATGTGTATATTAATTGGCTATATAGCGATTATAATTGAAATCGATGAAACTCAACAGGGGTGTCTACTATCGCTATATATCTGGTTAGTTAGTAATTGATATATATCTATATATATAACTTTCCTGATGACAAGTAATAAAATTATCTAAAACAGTAATAAAAGCAATACAAACACCAATTTTAAGATTAGCAAAACACAAGCTTAGAATTGCAAGTACAGTAAGCAATAGTATTATGCTGTATAGAAATCTCAGAAACTGCAACTCTCTTTTGCACCAACTATTAATAAAGCAAATTACAAGTTTACATATATGAGTTAATACTATAGGTCCAGAAGAAGTTCTTACCAAAATATGGATCAACTATGGACTCTTATTAATAGGAGCATCAGAAACCAATTGGTACCATAACCCACCTAAGGCATGCAAAAGCTTATAGAAAGACACCTAACATGTCACACTATGCTTAGAGCTAAAGAGATACAAGTAACAATAAGATTTGCAACTTCAGACCTTAATATAGAAGAAAAAAAATACAAAAATCACAGATCTATTTGGCAATAATTTTACTAAAAACACAGCTAGATTTCTTAGTAAAGTCAATTTAATCTATATAAATCAGTTACTTATGATGATAGGCAACAGAATGATTATGTGGCAACAACTTAAATTATTATGAGAAGAATCAAGCAAAGGCAGGAAAGCTAAGTGGTTTACAAAAATAGAAGAAAAAATATTAGATGACAAAAGAAAAAAATTATTAAAAACAAATTGGAGAACAAATGAACCAAACAGCCTTGCTCTTAAAGTGCTGCCAAAACCATTTTTGTGTGACAAAAGGAAAAAAGAATAGGTTTAATAAAAACAGTAAAAAAATAGAATACAAAATTAATAATTGAAAAGATTGTAACAAAAAGTTCTAAAAGATTATTAACAGAATACTGGCATAAAGAAAAGGAAACAGAAACAGCAAAAGTAATATTATCTAAATATAAGGGTTGCGAGTTAAACCAAAGCCAAATAAGTACAGACTGTGAAAGATAGATCAATAGAAATAAAATACAAGGAGAAATTTCAGATTATGTCAGAAAATGTAAACAACAAACCTTAGAGTTAAACTAAGAAATGATAAACTCCTTGCAAAAAACAAGAGAATAAAGAGTATGACAAAATGAAAGTGAAGCTACTAAAGTCATATGCTATGAATTGGACACCAAAATCATTCAAAAACAACATATTAGTTAACTAATGAAAGATGAGCTTATGAAACTCAACTAAAGAAACAAAGAAAGATCTAATGAATCATTGATCTTTTATATAAATGGTTTACTAAAAAGAGCATTAGGAAAAGGAAATTTAACAGTAGACCAAATGGGATCAGGCTGGGTGCAACTAGATGAAAAGAAAGAGAAAGTACTAAGTGAGGGCTGTTTCAGTACATAAAATTGGCCATCATTAACAAAACCAGAACTCTTAGCTATTTGGTTTGTTGTACTTGCAGCACCAGAAAAGAGAAAAGTAAAGATTTGTACAGATAGTGCAGCAGCAATCGCAGGCCTTAAAAATGAAAAAGAAAATTAATCTTTTAGATGATGACTAAAAAGAAAAAATTATAATCTAATAGAGAATATTAAAAACATTATAGAGTTAAAACAATTAGAAATAGACCTAGTTAAAGTTAAAGGCTATAGCGATAATGAATGGAATAATAGAGCAGATAGGTGGGCAAAAGAAGGAGCCAAAATAGATAGTTTGGATAAAATAGTAGAGAAAACTTTTCAAGAAACTAGCATCTCAATTTATTAGAAAGAAGAAATTATAGAAGATCTAACAAGAAAGTTTATTAAGAAAATTTTAGATCTACAAACAGGAGCTAAATAGGGTTTTTTATCAGTAATTAAAAAGACAGAGCCAGATGATAAGAAAAAAGTATATAATTAGACATACTTATGGAAGAAGATCAAAGACCAAAGCAGAAGCAGATGTATAAGCCAAAAAAAGAATACACAATTAGGAACTTTAATTAAATGTCTTAATAATAGATTACCATTACTAAAACTTCTAACACAATGAAGACCAGATCTTTACAAAAGTCCTTTTTGCATACTCTGTAATGAAGAAAAAGAAGAAAACCTAGAACACTTTGCATCATGCAAGTACTATAAAAATAATTGGAAAAAAATAAGATCTATCAATTAATCTTATATGAACTAAACTCTTAAGTGAAACACAAGTTCTCACAAGCAAAAAATAACCTAAAGAAATTTTTTGGCAAGAAAATAAGAAAAAAAGAAAGAAACAAGAATAGAAATAATCAAATGTCTAGTTTAAGAAAAGACAATTGAACATATACAAACTATACTAAAGCTGCTTAAAGGGGTTTGCTAAAGCGGGATAACTATTGAGCTGACATTCTGGAGGGTCATGCAGATCAATTGACCATCAACCAACTACAGCCAATTAACATACTAATATATCTAATTGACCAGTTGATCAAAATTGATATAGATGACAAAATTTTTTTTTAATTATTGGGCATCAACAAATCTTATACACTTGAAACTTCTGTAATTACTGGCTTGAAATTTTCTGTGCGAACATTGCTTTAAAAATATCCTGCGTCAAGCTGGTAGGTTTTGGGTGTTATAAACAAAAATAAATAAAAATAAAAATAAGTAGTTTGAGAACTCATGCTAAAATCTTTATAGCAATGACTTTAATTCGATATTAAAAGACTCAGCAAGCAGCAAACGTATACATATATCTTGCAATTAGTGAAGTGGCAAGTTCTGGTTAAAAAAAACAAAATCCTATAACAACAGCAAACAAGTAGCTTCCAGCTATTAAAAGGAAACTCTGCAAATGGTCAAATTAATAAAAAAAAAAAAAAAAAAAAAAAAAAAAACTTACAGTACAATAGACTTTGGTTAACTATAATTCACGATCGCTGCCAGTCATGTCAGCTATCCGAAAACGTTTTTTTTATCATGAATGAAACATTTGAGCTTTCTATCGAAGACTTTGATAAGCAGTGGATTCTTGTCAATAATATTTGGACAAGATTTAATGAATACAAATTAGACAATGGTGATGAGCATAAAACTTTCATTTGTAGACTTTCAAAGCCTAAAGAATCAAGCAGAAGAAAGGAAAACATTCCTTCTGAAAAACTTTGTGTAACCTGAAAAAAACCCGCTATTGATTGTAAGGCTAAAATTAGGATAACATGGTTAGCAACTTCAAATATGATTAGAATTGAGAGGGTAAGCAAAAATAACATGATCCAAAATATTAATGTAATGTTTTTTGGTTTTTGTTTTTTTTTAAAAAAAAACATTTGTAGGTGAGTGGTACTCCTGATTATAGCTACTCAATGGAAGAAACCGATATGCGTAAATGGTCAAAATTTATTAAAGATATGGTGGGTAATAAGGCGATTAAGAATTACAAACCCCAATGATCACAGATGTTATTAGAAAGAAGTTTCTAAACTATATGAGGATTCAGGTGTGGAATATTTGAAAACTAAAGAGGTTGCTAATATCAAACAAAAGCTCGTTGGTCCGATGAATTCGCATCTTGTTGAAGGTGCAGATTTACAATCTGATATTTTAAGTACAAAGAATTTTTGTTAAAAAACATTTATCAGGTTTAGTCTTTTCAAAAGCGAGGATCACCTATGCGTTTTCAAGGCCTATGTTTTGCAAATATTTGCCAGATAGAAAATTTAATTAATTATGGTTGATTAACGTTAATAGATTCTACACATAATACTAATAAGCATGAGTGACATCTATTTACTTTATACATTCGTAACAGTTGTGGTTGCTGGAATATTAGTGCTCATTTTTTTGTTAATAAGGAAACAAGTGAGGCTGTCACAGCTGCTTTAAAAATTATTCGAACCTTTGCTCCACGTTGGAATCCACGATACATGCTCCTTGATCAAAGCAGTGTAGAGTCCAACAGTATTGCATTAACTTTTTCAGGCCTTTTTGTAGTTAGAAAGAGAATAGAATTTAAACTTTTATTTTTTTTATTTTTTTTATTTTATTATCTCTTTTTTTTATCTTTTTTTTTTTTTTTTTTTTTTTTTTTTTTTTTTTTTTTTTTTTTTTTTTTTTTTTTCTTTTTTTTTTTTTTTTTTT